TGTGGTTTTAATGTGCATGTCCCCTGTGACTAATGATGGTTAGTGCATTTTCATGTGCACACTGGACATCGCTCTATTTCCTTTTGTAACGTGTCTGTTCAAATGTTTTGCTTATTTTTAACAATTGAGTTTGGCCCATTTAAACAAATTGGGTTGTTTATCTCTTTATTGTTGATTTGTAGAAGTTCTTCATATATTTTGGATAAAGTACTTTGTCAATGTGCTGTGAATACTTTTTCTTAGTCTGTCACTTGTCTTTTCCTTTTCTCCTGGTGTCTTTTAATAAAACACAATTTATCAGGTTTTTTCTTTAAGGTTTAGTGTTTTTGTATGCTATCCAAATATGCCCACTCCAAACTCATGAAGATATGTTCCTATGTTTTCTTGTAGAAGTTTTGCAGCTCTGGGTTTTACGTTGAGGTCTGCTATATATCCCGAATTAATGTGTGTGTGGAATGAGACAGGGGTCTGGGTTCGTTTTTTCCATACAGGGAACCAGCTGTCCCAGCCACACTTAACACTTTTCTTTCTCCATTGGATTAACCTAGTACTCTGACTGAAGGTCAGTCTGTCTGTCCTTACACCAACACCACACTGTCGCAGTTGCTATAGCTTTATAGTAAATCATGAAATTAGTATAAGTTCTATCATTTTGTTCTTCTTTAATGAGATTTCCTTAGCAAGGCTAGTCCTTTGCATCTCCATATAAATTTTTATTTTTTGTTATCTTTTAAAATAATGAATTAATTAAATTAATTAATTAATGTTTTTTGGTGGCTGGCCTTTATGGGGATCCAAACCCTTGACCTTGGTGTTATAAAACCATGCTCTCACCAACTGAGCTAACTGGCCAGCCCTCCATATAAATTTTTAGAATCAGCTTGTCTTATTCTACAAAAAGAAAAAAAATGTTGTTATGATTGGGACTGCATTACACTCATATTTATAGATGAATTTAGGGAGACTGGACACTCTCTATTGAGTCTTTTGACCAGCAACACTGTATATTTCTTAGTTTATTCAGGTCTTCTCTCAGCAGTGTTTCATAGTTTTTCACATACAGGTGTTACACATCTTTTATCAGATCTGTTCCTGGGTATTTTATGTTTTTTAATCTGGGCCTGGAGTTTTCTTTGTGGGAAGGTTTTGGTTAGAAATTCAGTTTGTTTAGTAGATATTAGGCTATTCAGATTTTCTAGTTCTTCTTATATCCCTTTTGTTAATTTGTGTATTGCAAGGAATTTGCCCATTCCATTTAAATTGTTGAATTTATTGAATATCATTCTTAATATTTCCTTGTTATCATTTTAATATTTGTAGTGTCTGTAATGATATGTCCTTTTAAACTCCTGATGTCAGTAATTTGTGTTTTTCTTGATGAGTCATGTTAGGGGTTTATCAACTTTATTACTGTTTTTAAAGTGCCGAATTTTGACTTTGTCAATTCTATTATTTGACTGTTCTGAACCGTTCTCGTTCGCTTTTTGCTCTCACTTTTATTTTTCCTTCCTTCTACTGACATTGGGCTTAACTGGCTATTCTTTCTCTAGTTTCTTGAGGAGGGATTATACACTTTTCTTTTGTGACAGTCATTTTAAGCTCATTGGCGTCCAACACGGGCTCTCTGCTCCTGTGCCACCTGAAGTCTGTCGTGACGAGGACTTCGGTGTGCGTGGCTCTGCTGTTTGTGCTGTTCTGCAGCATTTCTCAGAACGTGTGCGGGTCTGGACGTAGGTGCCTGGAAGTCACCACCATTGTCCTAGGCTGCCTGGAAGTCTTCAATCCCAGTGTTTTAAAATAGGATAATTTAGAAATTGACATTCATGAACCCTAATAGAAAAATTAGCACATGACATGCACGGGCAGTTTACCAAAGAAATACA